CCGGAGGCATGAGGCAGCAGGTTCTCCTCAGGAACCTCCACCTCGTCCATGACGATCATTCCAGTGACCGAGGCTCTCAGGGAGAACTTTCCTTCGATCTTCGGCGTGGTGAAGCCCTTCATGCCGCGCTCCAAGATGAAGCCGCGGATCTTTCCATCGTCACACTTGGCCCAGACCACAGCGATATCTGCCTCTGGGGAGTTGGTGATCCTGGGAGAGGAAGCAAAGGAAATGTCAGGCAGACAGCTCAGGGTACACACTTTTTTTTTTTATAAAGAGTAAAGAACACTGATGTTTCTACTGCGCCATCAGGTGGTGGGTATCACACTGAATCAGTCAGACCTGCATTTTCTAATTCAAGAAAACATGAGGACTTGTTTTAATATTTCCTGTTGCACAATTTTTAATGTAATTACGGTAAATTTAATTACTTTTATGAAATTATGAAACTGAACAAAGAAAGGACTGTGCCTCAAAACATCAAATGTGTGAAAACCTAGTAAAGAGCTCCACCTTGTGGACAACTAATGGCAGAGCATTGAAGCCAACATTGATGCTGTGTGTGTTCTACATTTACTTATCAGTTTAGTGTAAGTTGTCTGACTGAGCTTTCCGCTATTTCTAAAAGTAATAACCCCCAGAACACAGAGTCTACCTGGCTGGAAACACAGAGAACACTGTAGGGCGAACAGGCTCGATTATCACAGTATGATGGGCTGTTTATGAGCCACACAGCGAGCATGCTCAGAGTTTGTTCATGGAAGTGAACTTTCTATTTTGGTTCTGTTGATTCATGGCAGTTTGCATCTGATGCATTTATGTGAAACTATCGACTATTCTATCAAACATTTTTCCTGTCATAAGGATAAGGTGTATTTTCTCGGATATTTTTCACACATGCAGACTTACCAAGCCTTTGAGCCGGTGAGCGTGTAGGTGCGACTGGATGGATTGTATTTGGCTCTGGTTTCCATGCCAGCGAGGTCACTGCCATGGTTGTGCTCCGTCAAGCCAAAGCAACCCAGAATTTCTCCGCGAGCTGAGAGCAACAGAGGGGACAACTCAGTCAAGAACATAGCTCAGAGTCACTCAGGATCTGCTTTTTACACTTGAAGCATTCATATCTGACAACAGATTTTAGCATTAATAGCTTTCACCCATGAGAGAAAAGATGCTGTTTTCTCTTCTTACCCAGCCTGGGGAGGTACTTCTGTTTCTGTTCCTCTGTGCCATAAGCGTTAATGGGGTGCATGACCAGTGCCGACTGCACACTCATAACTGTGCGATAGCCGCTGTCCACTTTCTCTATTTCTCTGGCGATCAAACCATAAGCCACATAGCTTGTCCCAGCGCAGCCATAGCCTTAAGATCAAATGAAGGGAGAAGATTTCTATGCAGTATTATTAATAACAAAATGTAAGGCATTAAGTAAGAACTAAATTAAAGGCCAAAGTCTGTTCATTGTTATTCAACTGATAGAATGGTGGCTGTTTACAATAAGATAATAGTTCAACTATAACCTCACATAAAAACGCTACAATAACACACGTCTGTGGTCGAGACTGACCTTGAATAGTTGGACCCAGGACACCCAGCTCTCCCATCTCAGACACAATTTCTCTGTGGAAAACTGAAAATAGAAATAACACAAGCAGGTTACAGGAGTTTCTCTGGCAGAACTAAGAGGATGCCAACAAACTAATAAGTTCATAAAGCACCCTTCTTCTGTCAGTGTCTCATTAAGAACCTGTGATTAGCATAAACCATCATAAACTGGACAGATTTGAGTGAAACACGTTAACTCGCTGGCACTGAAAGGAAAAATACTTCATGAATTAACAACTTGAGCTCATGCATGTTGGAAGATGAACACTCCCCTCTCACCTTCATTTCTGTTTGCCAGCAGGATGCGAGGCATGAGTTTCTCTTGGCAGTAGGTCCGGAAGGAATCCCTGATCAAGATTTCTTCCTCCGTCAGCTGGCCCTCCAGCTCCAGGGCATCCCGCCAGTTGAACTGGACCTTAGCTTCAGAGGAGGGACAATTTACACACAATTAAAATCACTGTATAAGATGTTTTCTGGGAAGATATTCAATTTCAAAATACTGTCTAAGGTTTCAGAAAGTAGTTGTCAACACTTACGTGCTTTAGGCCTCTGCTCAGTCTTTTCTGCACATGAAAATAAAAAAGAATTATATTATTATAATGCACATGTCTGAAATACCAATTTAGAATATTTGAATATCAAAATTACTATCCAGATACCACAACCACGACCAAATATTTGGATATTCGGGTCCAGCCCTACACAAAATTGAACTTGTGCCTATTTAAAATGCCATAAAATATTCAGTAAAAGGATAAAACACCGCTTTTTATATCTAAAATAGTAAAGCAAATTGCAAGTTTCATTTTGAGTTATAGCACTGCCAAAAGCTAAGGTATATTTAGGTGCACTTTCCCAATTAAATAAATGCAATTTTTGACCTATTTTTCAAACTACAGTCTGTGCTATACCAAATGCAGCTTTACATTGAAAGTTATCACAGTTCTCTCCACAGCTCCTAAGTGACTCTTCAAAGGAAAAACATCTCATCCACGAGGATAATTCTATCATTCACATCAGCTGACACCTGCTGCAGTCCATCCACTCTCTCTGCGACTGGGTCCAGTACTAACCATGCCTGGCAGGTGCTGCACTTCCCTGTGCTCTGGAAGCAGAGATGGTGGCGAATCTGTGAGGGTTCACCAGGAGACGGCACACAGCGCTTCTCAATGCCATGATGGAAGTTAGTCTATAAAGTAATAAAACAGTTATGATCCACAATAGTTAACCTGTGGACTTCAAATACAGAGAGAAGTCAATCATGTGGCTCACAGTGAAAGTGCTGGCAAGAACTTCAACAACTGTGCTCCTAAACTGTAAATAAGGGCATCAAGAGTTAAACTGATTGTGTTATCAGAGGGCGTTGTAAGTTTGTTTAATGTCAATGTAGGACTCTGCAGTTGTGAGTAAAGAAATGTAAATATAAGCAGCAGTATCTAATTTACAAAATAATGATATCTACTGCGACTGAGGTGATTTCAGAATCTCAAACTCATGTCAAACTTCCCCTTGTAAATCTAAAAAAGCAAGCTGTCAGTGTGAAGCAACAACCCAGACAGTTCTGTCTGGGCTAGCTGAGCTAACCTGTGTGACCTCAGATAACCCCACTGTAGTTAAAAGCTAACAGCGCTAGCTCACGACAGCTGCCTCATACTTTGACTGTTAATGACATAATATTCACATGGCTCTAACACCAGTGTACTACACGTACACTGTGTGTTGAAAATAGGAATTAAAAACAATATGACAAGGTATGTAAAGTGCAATTACCTGTGTTAAACAGCTAGCCCTGGTTCTGGTGTCTCTTGGCTGATTGTCCGGTTCACGCTGACCACCAATGTCAAAACAATAGACTGTATAAAAGATGGACGTGGCAACCGGCCCCGAAAAATGATGCCAACCTGGAAGTGTCAAAAACCTGCAATATCACTACGTCCACTAGTCCTGGCTCCAAAAAGCCCTGGCTCCCATAGAAATGAATTGGAAAAGAAGTGATCACAGATCATGAAATACTGCATTCCCCCAGCTCAGGATTTTTTNCCAGCCTGGGGAGGTACTTCTGTTTCTGTTCCTCTGTGCCATAAGCGTTAATGGGGTGCATGACCAGTGACGACTGCACGCTCATAACTGAGCGATAGCCGCTGTCCACTTTCTCTATTTCTCTGGCGATCAAACCATAAGCCACATAGCTTGTCCCAGCGCAGCCATAGCCTTAAGATCAAATGAAGGGAGAAGATTTCTATGCAGTATTATTAATAACAAAATGTAAGGCATTAAGTAAGAACTAAATTAAAGGCCAAAGTCTGTTCATTGTTATTCAACTGATAGAATGGTGGCTGTTTACAATAAGATAATAGTTCAACTATAACCTCACATAAAAACGCTACAATAACACACGTCTGTGGTCGAGACTGACCTTGAATAGTTGGACCCAGGACACCCAGCTCTCCCATCTCAGACACAATTTCTCTGTGGAAAACTGAAAATAGAAATAACACAAGCAGCTATCGGGTTACAGGAGTTTCTCTGGTAGAACTAAGAGGATGCCAACAAACTAATAAGTTCGTAAAGCACCCTTCTTCTGTCAGTATCTCATTAAGAACCTGTGATTAACATAAACCATCATAAACTGGACATCTCAGATTTGAGTGAAACACGTTAACTCGCTGGCACTGAAAGGAAAAATACGTTATGAATCAACAACTTGAGCTCATGCATGTTGGAAGATGAACACTGCCCTCTCACCTTCATTTCTGTTTGCCAGCAGGATGCGAGGCATGAGTTTCTCTTGGCAGTAGGTCCTGAAGGAATCCCTGATCAAGATTTCTTCCTCCGTCAGCTGGCCCTCCAGCTCCAGGGCATCCCGCCAGTTGAACTGGACCTTAGCTTTAGAGGAGGGACAATTTACACACAATTAAAATCACTGTATAAGATGTTTTCTGGGAAGATATTCAATTTCAAAATACTGTCTAAGGTTTCAGAAAGTAGTTGTCAACACTTACGTGCTTTAGGCCTCTGCTCAGTCTTTTCTGCACATGAAAATAAAAAAGAATTATATTATTATAATGCACATGTCTGAAATACCAATTTAGAATATTTGAATATCAAAATTACTATCCAGATACCACCACGACCAAATATTTGGATATTCGGGTCCAGCCCTACACAAAATTGAACTTGTGCCTATTTAAAATGCCATAAAATATTCAGTAAAAGGATAAAACACCGCTTTTTATATCTAAAATAGTACAGCAAATTGCTAGTTTCATTTTGAGTTATAGCACTGCCAAAAGCTAAGGTATATTTAGGTGCACTTTCTCAATTAAATAAATGCAATTTTTGACCTATTTTTCAAACTACAGTCTGTGCTATACCAAATGCAGCTTTACATTGAAAGTTATCACAGTTCTCTCCACAGCTCCTAAGTGACTCTTCAAAGGAAAAACATCTCATCCACGAGGATAATTCTATCATTCACATCAGCTGACACCTGCTGCAGTCCATCCACTCTCTCTGCGACTGGGTCCAGTACTAACCATGCCTGGCAGGTGCTGCACTTCCCTGTGCTCTGGAAGCAGAGATGGTGGCGAATCTGTGAGGGTTCACCAGGAGACGGCACACAGCGCTTCTCAATGCCATGATGGAAGTTAGTCTGTAAAGTAATAAAACAATTATTAAAGTGCTGGCAACAACTTCAACAACTGTGCTCATAAACGGTAAATAAGGGCATCAAGATCTAAACTGATTGTGTCATCAGTGGACGTTATACGTTTTTTAAATGTCAATGTAGGACTCTGCAATTGTGAGTAAAGAAATGTAAATATAAGCAGCAGTATCTAATTTACAATCTAGTGATATCTACTGCGACTGGGACGATTTCAGTATCTCAAACCCACGTCAAACTGCCCCTTGTAAATCTAAAAAAGCAAGCTGTCAGTGTGAAGCAACAACCTAGACAGTTCTGTCTGGGCTAGCTAAGCTAACCTGTGTGGCCTCAGATAACTCCACTGTACTTACATGCTAACAGCGCTAGCTCACGACAGCTGCCTCATACTTTGACTGTTAATGACATCATTTTCGCATGGTTCTAACACCAATGGACTACACGTACATTGTGTGTTGAAAATAGGAATTAAAACCACTGTGACACGCTATGTAAAATGAAATTACCTGTGTTCAACAGCTAGCCCTGGTTCTGGTATCTCTTGGCTGATTCTCCGGTTCACGCTGACGACCAACGTCAAAACATGAACTACGTCATCACGTAAGGCACGCAAAACTAAGACGCCATGTTGAGTGTGGCTTCACAGAACTATTCGCCCCGTGAATTAATAATAGTCTAATATTCGTGCACAGAATTGATCGTTTTCTGTATGCGAAGGATGCACATTTAAAATCTGAGACTAAGAAAAAAAAACAACAAAAAAATCCTTGGTTAAGGTCCTCCATCATCAACAAAGATGGCTGCCTTTCGAGGACACTTCAGACGACTCTGATTGGCTCATCAGTGGGGGAGTGAATGTTGGCTTTGCTCATGTTTGTGTTCCCAGAATAAAAGTGTCTCAGTTAGAAGGAAGGATGACAGTAACAGTGCCAACTTTCCAATATGTAAGCAACTTATTGGTAGACAGTAAACACAATCAGGACTCGGCCTAAATTCTTCTCATACCAGTGCTTCTGTCTACTGGACTCATTGTACCATTAACAGAGAGATTTGCGTGGATGCAGGTCTCAGATTTTCTCAAGTTGACTTTTTCTCGGATCTATATTTCACATAATAAAAAAAATACAAAAAAGTATACCATGGAATTTCAAGGTACTCATATTTTACTTGTGTGTTTTTCATTGCATTTCAGAGGGAAAATATTGTGCATTTTATTTTATTTATATCACATCTCAATAGCTTTCAACTTTGCAAAAAAACATGTCATTATTACACATTCAGTCTAGTACACAATTTTATTGCATACATTATTTTTTATTTACTTTATATTTGGTACTTTCTAAACTATTTATCTATTTATTTAACCAGTGGGTGAAGTATTTCCTCAACAATTGTCATATGCGTGGGCAGTAATGTTCACTTCAGCAGCAGACGCATATGTAGTGAGACAACAGCTGACAGAGGACACTAATAACACGAGTTGCATGCAGCTGCTTAATGCTGGTGAACAGTGGTGTCTAGTGGTGAAGAGAAATTAGTACATTTACTCTAGTACTTTTCCTCAACACAGTTTTAAGATACTTGTACTTGAGTGTTTCCAGTTTATCCTAATTTACACTTCCACTTCACTGTATTACAGAGAAAAATATTGTGCTTTCTACTCCACTGCCTTTATCTGACAGCTGTAGTTACTATTTCACACTGAGCATAATTTCCCAGGTTTTTATGATACAACATGTTGTCAAAGATTAAACCAGTTTTTGCCTTTTTACATAAAGCAGTGTGTAGTCAGGCTCACATTTCAAATGGTGTCGTTTAAATAAAGGCTCATATAATCCAACATTTCAGCAAAAATCAAAGATTAGAGAAGAAAACGAAAACAGATTAATGGATCAGAACTTTGTTGTTTCTTCTTTCCTTTCATAATCCTGTGATGAGCCCCCACATTTATCTGCTGTCTCTGTATATAAGGCTGGCTATAAAGGAGCTCACACTAGCTCCACCTGCAGCAGCTACAACACTAACATGCTGTAGACAAACTGATGCTTCACTACTATAAATCAAAATGATCTCAGATATAATAATATATCAGTCAGAGGGACCAAACCTGGACTTTTACTTTAATGCTTTAACTACATTTTGCTGCTAATACATATGTACTTTTTCTTAAGTGGGATTTTTGCAACTTTTACTAATAAAGGAGTAACTTTACATTGTGGTATCCGCTGATTTTTAAATCAGTTAAATGTGGAATTGAAGACTTTTGCTCACTTATTTTTTCAGAGTAGTATTGTTAGTTTTAATAAAGTAAACTAAAGAATCAAAAGAGTTGTATTCGCAGCCCATTTATGTGGTTTTGTGACAATTTCAGATGCAAGCACAAGACTCATTTCACACTCTGGGTCATCCGAGTCGTCTTTGTCATGATGAATAAAGAGGTGCATTTTACTCCACTACATAACAATGTTAGTTACTGTGCAGATATGAGTCACCATATGGCCAGTCCATGCAACGTGATACTTTACACTATCCAACAGTAGAGGCGATGTCAAGCAGCTAAAATTAGTTTGATCTGCACAAGCTACATGTTGCTTACATGTTCAAGAGACAGTCCAGTGGTTTAGTGCTTTTGTGTTGCACTTTCATAAAGACAGAGGAACAATAGGTGATTAAATAAGAATCGTTAAGCTCAATCCCCAATTATGTTAAGCCTCAAAAAAACTGAATCTTAAATTCTCCAATAATGAAACCTGACAGTGGACATTAGAAATGTCCTTCCAGTGCAACCAAAGTCATCATACGCCTGTCATTCCAGTGAAACCATTCACTACAACAGGATTGTTCTGTCTCGTGAGTGCTTTTTACTTTACTTGAGTAGCTTATCTTTCAATGATTTACTTTACTTTTGTATTTTCACTGAAGTACAATATGATTGTGGGGTTCTTTAGAAAGTATTCTGTTTACTTTAATTTGAGCAAAGCAGTGCTACTCCCCTTACAGCTTGTAGGTGAATTCAAGTTCACAATAGGGTGCCAGCTGGCCTGCTGATGATTTTATGATTTGCAATAATGAAGTCACAATAAGGCCCATTACTCATCTACTGTTTCTTTATTAACTGGACCTCAGCCTCCTGTCATTTTGCACAAGTGGCCCTCAGGCAAACCATCATCATCATCCTCCCTGGTTCTTCATACCTCATCCACCTGCAGCAGCTGTGGTGACTCAGGGAGTGCAGAGTGAGTCAGACCAGGCCATGTAAGGGCCTATAAGCTGAATTATGAATGAATAGATTGCTTTTTATAATTAATGTTGTCTAGAATTTCATCAGGCCAATAATAAAAGTTATGCTATGTCATTGCTGTGATGCATTCTTGGCCGATGAGGACATTTTTCCACTGTGAGTAAGTGCCTGTGGCCTAATAAATCATCTAACTCTCGTTATGTTTTAATAAATACAGAGATGAACTGCATTCTCAGAGCTTATTAGACAGTTAAAAAGCTCATTGGACTCTTCCAGTTAACGGTACTAGAAATTAAGCCACTCTCCACTAGCATGAGTGGGCTCCCGCTCCTCGCACTGTGATTGGTCGGCCGCCTTGTCACTCACTGCGTCCCGCGTCCTCATTGGTCAGCCGCCTCCTCGAAGGAATATCCCTTTAAATGTTGGCAGGACCGTCAAGATTTTGGAGCGGACTTCTCACGAAGTGCACAAACTGGCAGAAAGTGCCGCACAAACGAGCCCCCTGCCAAAGCTGGAAATATGCTGTAGCCGTCGCCCGTGAGCAGCTGTGGTCCAGAAGAAACGCTTCGTAATCATGGAACTGGAGGAGAAATCGAAATATGGTAATTATTTAAACCCCCCAAAAGGACACGCTGCACTTCCATTTGTCGTGGGACCTTATCGTTGGTTTACATCTAAAACAAAAAACAAAACACCCGAGCTGCTAGCTTTGTTTTGACTTTGTCGTTACTCTTTGTGGAAACGCGTACAGTTCCTAAAGTCATCCCAGAGACGTTACTTACAACAATACGTTTATTATTTTCTGCTTTTTTTATTGTTCCCAGTTAGCCGCTACCACTTTCACTCGGAGCGCGTGAACTTTTACAAACACAAGCTAGCTAACGGTTCACTTTCTTCAGTTTTTAGAGCGATTTTTAGTCACGTATGGGAAATTCAGGATGCCTTTAAGTAAGCTGGTGGGTGCAAAGTGCCACATATATTGGTGGCGTACGAAGTCCCAGTCTGTGCTTGTGCTTGTCCAGTTGCTGCCACATTCCTCAGACTGGTATGGAAGGCAACAGGAGCTTAGCTGACGCCCAGCTATGTATAGAGCCTAGCTTATTAAAAAAACAAAAAAAAAACCCTCAAACATGTGAGGAGGGGTCTCCATTTGTCAATTCAGGTGTGTTCAGTTTCGTTTCATCCAATATTGCTGAGCTGTTAATAATGTCCACTTCCCTAATGTGGCTGTAATTATGCCTTCCTTCCCCATAACACCAGTTAAACTTATTTTACAGTGACCCGCCCTGATGTCTGCTGAGTGTGATGTACAGCTGCAGTTTTTTTTTCTTCTTTATTTAACAGGGAAGTGCAATTCATTGCCATGAATCATTAACGCATAGAAAAGAAGAGTGTACGGAGCATGTGTACTCCCAAAAGGCCTTGTTTTGGAGAGTACCCTTGTCTTTTGTGCACAATAATTGATTTAAAAATGACTCTATCGGTATGTATTTCTTCACATTTCATGCTGAGCTTTTTGCAGGACGTTCATAAGTAGAAATGAAAAACAATCCCAGGCACTTCTCCTGTTCGCTGGCGATAATAGTGCTTTCCTCCTCGTCTCTGCACACACCCTTTTCCACTCGGCCTGCCACATGATTGCTAATTGATTCACTTTACCAACCCTCCAAGAACGGCAGTGCATACCATGAGTGTGCTTGTGTGCGAAAAAGAACGTGAGCTTGCCAAGGATTTCCAAATGCAACACAGAGAAAGTAATAAACAAGAAGCTAACAGTGGTTTTGGCTGCAAATTCATTTAAGAAGTGACGAAACCTTCAGCTGAACACACATGTTAATATTCCTCAGTGCGTCTTGAGCTTGAGACCAGCTAAAAGAGGGCACTATAGGATCTACCACAGTTGGACATGTTGGAGTAATTTCAGGCTGAGATATATGAAGAACCCTAAATGACAGGATCTGGAGCAGCCGTGCAGCCATGCCCTGGTGCAGATGAGGGGTAATTATGAGCCATATTTAGGAGGGTGTTTCTTCAAACCTGATCCCGAGACTCCCTGACTTCTCTTTTATGTTTGTGAAAAGTACATTTACACGTTTACTCTTGGTCTTTTTCTGTTAGTTTTCAGCTCAGTTTTTGTACTGAACTGTTTTTCCTTCCCTAACAAATAGCCAAAAACATCTGTCATTGCAGCTACCCGTTTCTGCTTGAATGTGCCTGATCATACCCAGACTGGATCATGTGACTCTGCTAACTTTCTTGCGGTTCTGCCAGCTTGCCTACAGTCTGAAACACAAAGACATGTTCAGAGCAGACTGATTGGTTGTTAAGGTCAGGGAAAA